GAGAGAGAGAGAGAGAGGGCACAAGTGAGCGAGGGACAGACAGAGAGAGAGGGAGAGTCCCATGAAGGGTAGAGAGGGGGGGAGACAGGGGGAGAGAGAGGGAGAGAGAAGGGGGGCTCAAACTCAAACCGTGAGATCATGACCTGAGCCAAAGTCAGATGCCTAACCGACTGAGCCAACCGGGTGTCCCAGTCAAGGGATTTTTTAAAAGTGTGAACGCAAAGACTAGGAAAATGGGAAAGGTCCTTGGAGGTGGGAGAAAGCCGAATCCTGGACTCCAGCGCGAAATGGGTAGAAATCTGTCTGGGAAGCAAGCCCCTACATAAAATCAGTCACAGGGATGTAACGTACAACAGGGGGACTGTAGTCAATAAGACAGATCTTCCTGGACTTACAGTGGGGTTACACCCCAAAAAACGCAACGTAAGTTGAAAATACCGTAAGTCAAAAATGCATTTAATACATTTAACCTAACAAACATTATAGCTGAGCCTGGCCTACCTTAAACGTGCTCAAAACACTTACATTAGCTCACAGTTGGGCAAAATAATCGAACACAAAGCCTATTTTCTCAAAAAGAATTTTTTTGATGTTATTTATTTTTGAAGGAGAGAGACACACAGAGGGAGGGAGGGGCAGAGGGAGGGAGGAAGGCACAGAATCCGAAGCAGGCTCCGGGCTCCGAGCTGTCAGCACAGAGCCCGACGCGGGGCTCGAACCCACGAACCGCGAGATCATGACCTGAGCCGAAGTTGGACGCTTACCCAACTGAGCCACCCAGGAGCCCCTACAAAGCCTATTTAATAAAGTGTTGAATATCTCGCATAATTAACTGAATACCATACTGAAAGCGAAAAACAGGAGGGCTGAATGGGTACAGAATATGCCTGTACGGGTCGTTTACCCTCGTGATCGTGCAGCTGACTGGGAGCGGTGGCTCACTGCTGGTGGCCGGGATCAGGACAGAGTCTCATACTGCCTGTCAGGAGTCTGGGAAAAAGATCCAGATTCCACATTCAAAGTACAGCTTCTACCGAATGCACATCACGTTGGCATCATCGTTAAGTCAAAAAATGGTAAGTCAAACCCACTGGAAGCCAGGGAGTGTCTGTACCGTATTCGATGATGAGCCCCCAACCTTCGTCTCCTCTGCATGGTTTCCCGCAAAGCACCCTTGGCCGGGTGACCCCATCATGAAGCTCGCAGTTGAAAAGACACCCCCCCCCCAATATGCCCATGCCTAGAGCTTCTAACCAGATTTACAACCAAGGATTATCGGATCCCTGGGGATTTCCTCTACTAGGGATGACGGAAACTAAAGGAAACAAAGGGGCGCCTGAGTGGCTCAGTTGGTTGAGTGATTGACTTTGGCTCAGGCCACGATCTCATGGTTCATGGGTTCGAGCCCCATGTCGGGCTCTGTGCTGACAGCTCAGAGCCTGGAGCCTGCTTCGGATTCTGTGTCTCCCTCCTCTCTCTGCCCCTCCCCTGCATGGGTAGGGGCAGTTGGTTGAGTGATTGACTTCGGCTCAGGTCATGAGTTCGAGCCCCGCGTCGGGCTCTGTGCTGACAGCTCAGAGCCTGGAGCCTATTTCAGATTCTGTGTCTCCCCTCTCTCTACCCGTCCCCTGTTCACTCTCTGTGTCTCTGTGTCTCTCTGTCTCTCAATAATAAACATTTTACAAAATTATTAAAAAAAAAAGCTTTAGGGAATGAAAAAAAATCCTGGAAAATTACAGTGTGAGGGCACCACAGAATGCACAGCACACAGAGTAAACCCTAAGGGAAAAAAAGAGCTTTAGTTAATAAAAACGTTATCAAAAGGTTTCTATAGTTTTCAGGGTATACATTTTTCATCTCTTTGCTCAGGTTTATTCCTAGGTATTTTATGGGTTTTGGTGCAATTGTAAAGGGGATCAGTTCCTTGATTTCTCTTTCTGCTGCTTCATTATGGGTGTCTAGAAATGCAACGGATTTCTGTGCACTGATCTATATCCTGTGACTTTGCAAATTCATGTGTCAGTTCTAGCAGTGTTTTGGTGGAGTCTTTGGGTTTTCCCCATAGAGTACTCCTTGCTGATTTGGATACATTTTATTTCTTTGTGTTGTCTGACCGCTGAAGCTAGGGCTTCCAACACTATGCTGAATAACACTGGGGAGAGCGGACCCCCTTGTCGTGTTCCTGACCTTAGGCGGAAAGCTCTCAGTTTTTTGCCATCGAGCATGATATTAGCTGTGAGTCTTTCATATATGGCCTTTAATAATCTTGAGGTATGATCCTTCTATCCCTACTTTCTTGAGGGTGTTTTATCAAGAAAGGGTGCTGTATTTTGTCAAATGCTTTCTCTGCATCTATAGAGAGGATCATATGGTTCTTATCTTCTCTTTTACTAATGTGATGTATCACATTGATTGATTTGCAGATATTGAACCACCCTTGCAGCCCAGGAATAAATCCCACTTGATCATGGTGAATAATTCTTTCAATGTATTTTTGGGTCCGGTTGGCTAGTATCTTGTTGAGAATACACTGAAAACTATAGAAAGCTTTCGAAAGAAATTGAAGAACTCACGGAAAAACATTCCATGCTCATGGATCATAAGAACAAATATTGTTAAAATGTCAATACAATCCAAAGCACATGCAATGCAAACCCTATCGCAATAACACCAACATTCTTCACAGAGCTAGAGTAAACAACCCTAAAATTTGTATGGAGCCAGAAAGACTCTGAATAGCCAAAGCAGTCTTGAAAAAGAAAACCAAAGCAGGAGGCATCATAATTCAGACTTCAAGCTATACTACAAAGCTGTAATCATCAAGACAGTATGGTCCTGGCACAAACACAGACACCTAGATCAATGGAACAGAATAGAGAACCCAGAAATGGACCCGCAAACGTATGGCCAACTAATCTTTGACGAAGCAGGAAAGAATATCCAATGGAAAAAAGACAGTCTCTTCAGCAAATGGTGTTGGGGAAAAAGGCAGCAACGTGCGGAACAATGAACCTGGACCACTTTTTTACACCATACACAAAAATAAACTCAAACTGGATGAAAGACTAAGCATAAGATAGGAAACTATCAAAATCCTAGAGGCGAAAGCAGGCAAAAACCTCTTTGACCTCGGCCGCAGCAACTTCTTACTTGACATGTCTCCAGAGGCAAGGGAAACAAAAGCAAAAATGAGCTATTGGGCCCTCATTAAGATAAAAAGCCTCCGCACAGCGAAGGAAACAATCAGCAAAACTCAAAGGCAACAGACGGAATGGGAGAAGATATTTGCAAATGACATTATCAGATAAAGAGTTAGTGTCCAAAATCCACAAAGAATTTATCAAACTCAACACCCAAAAAACAAATCACCCAGTGAAGAAATGGGCAAAAGACATGAATAGACACTTTTCCAAAGAAGACACCAGATGGCTAACAGACACATGAAAAAA